CAGCTTGTTGACGGTTGGCTTTAGTATCTCACAAAATACCCTTTATGGGATCTTATATGCGATATTAACGAGGCTTATCCCACGATAGTTTGCGCAGACTGTGGGGTCTCCTTTTTTATGGACTGGGCAGAGCACAATTAAATTCCAATCGTCGGGCATGCTTTCGTCCGACTATATTCTGCAAGGTAGCTGATGCATGCACCTTGTCAGCTCTTCGCCGTCATGTTTGAATAGTTCTGCCGGTAGGCCGTCAGCTTCCGCCGCTTTGTTGTTTTTTAAGCGGACGATTACTATTCGAACTTCTTCGTGGCCCATTACCTGACCACGTATTTTTCATCGTAAGCGTTTGGGGTTTCGGGTTCACCATCCCCGGCTACTTCATTTTCACTGCTATTCGGTAGGCTGGAGAAGTGTTCCCTCCATAAATTCAATATATACTCTGGGCATCGGTTTGTAAGAGTCTGTTGTTGTCTGCAAAAGGTGGTGCTTTTTCTCCGAGCACGCCATTTACGTGAAAAGAGTCTTTGAAGGTTTTGACTGACTGGTTAATGCCGTCCTGTCCAGGGGTTGTCCCACATGTTACTGGAGGGTGTCCTTCATGTTTCGTACTCCCTTTCTGATGTGCCTAGGTGTGGGTTCAGATTCTAGAAATTAAACAGTAGTATTGAGAGAACAACACTCTGCGGAAACCCTTGTTAATTTTCGTAAATTTACATGTTTCATCACGGAATACTACCGATGATTGTCGACCATTCAGGTAGCCCATGATCTACCTCTGCAACCCCGGCGGTAATGAGGATTCCTCAATGTCCGTTAGCAGCACTGAATGGTTGAACGGTTGACGTTTTCCAAACGTCAGGTATCATTAGGGTGGACAATGACAAATTAAAGGCCTTGGCTAGGAAATCTGCTCTGCTCTGATGTTTTAGCTTCAGCATGCTTATTTTGTCTAGGCCGATGGATTTGGAGGCTTTCGCCTTCCCGATAACCCCCTGAAACTCTTTCCTGGAGAAATCAAGCGCCGCGCTGGTGCTTGGCAGTTTGCACGGACGGCGGGTTATTCGTCGCTTTAATTTGTCTGCCGAGGGATGCAATGTGAAGAGTTCGGTAAAATTGCTCTGGCATCTCTTCGGTCTCAACGAGGCGCGGTCACCGAAAGAAATTTCCACTCGGTCATCGCGTATCGTCGGGTTAGAGAACGATTTCAGGACCTTAAGTGCTCCTCCCACTTTTTCCGCTTGCGGCTGTTTAATACTTTGCGAATCTCCGAGTTTAAATCCCTAATTAGGGGATTTACTCTACGGCGATTTGACAGGCTGGAATGCCTCTGAATAGCGCACCTATGTATATCATAGCTACATCCAACCGACCAACTTGTAACAGGAGGAAAGTATGTATATATTAAATTTATCGAGATCGGCATCGCTTGAGGGGATAGCTGTGCCCTAATATTCTAGGATAACATCCCTGCGGTCGATGTTGCCGGCGATAAGATAATACTGCACAATGTTGTGTAGGATGAACACTAAGCACCCACCATGGCCTCGCTCGCCATCCTTGCGGATAAAGTTGGATCCGGCCCGGCTAATAAGATCCGAGCGGACGGTCAACTTCGTTTTCTGGATCGCAGCAATTGGTGCAACAGGTGCTGCCGGCTCATTTAGTCGACTATATCGTAGATCTTTCAATGGATTCCGTTGCAAATTAATTAATTAAATTGTAGCAGTCGTGTCTGTCTCAGAGGGAAGTTCGTAATGCAGGGGTGAGGGAGTTATGTATTGTGTTGTTGCTGTTTCACCCGCGGAATTTGATGCCACACATGGCTGTTGATAGGGATGTGGATTGGTGGAAGTTACGCTCCGGTGAGCTCCGTGAGGCCGTAGAGGACTGGGGGTTACGCAAAGTGGGTAGCGGGGCTAAAGGGCGCTGGCAGCATGGGACCATGTAAGTTGTGGACCACTGTGACAGACCTTAAGATGACTCTAGCCATTGCCTTGGTTGCACCTAACCGGGGTGGAGTCTTTTATGGCACACGCAGCAGAAATAATCCTTCGGACCAGGGCTGGTTTCGACGCCAGCTGAGAGGTGCTGCTCCGTTGGCGCACTTAAATTAGTTTTAACTGCTGATCTAAACGGGGTTAGGTCGCCGAAAGAGTTACAGCCCTTGGGCGGATAAAATCTGTGTCAACTCAGGTGCGTAGAACCGGTTGCCTTGAGAGTTGACTCGCATGTCTGTCATCAGTAGTGCGAAAAATGGATTTTCTACCTCGCGCTGCCAAATGCACTTTGCCCTAACTGTCCTTTGAATAGCTGCATCGTAACCTTAAACATTTTCTGCAATTGTAGCAATACTTTTTATAAACTTGTTTCAGCAACAATCTTCTATTGTCTTTCATACCAATATCATACACATTTCGCTGTTTAGTTTTGTAAAATGACAGTTCCGACAAATTTCCAGAAGTTGAGAGTCAATTTGCAAGAATTTTTTTATGCTACGTGTGGCTTATCTTAAAATTAAAATTTGTTATTTTGACAAGAAAAATAATATTAATTAATTGCTACATCTGATAGGGGTTAAAAGCATATCTTATTTCATAACAATTAATTATTCAATTAATGCTAATAATTTGATGCTTTTTTGCCATACCCAGCTGTTGTGGCCAACTTAGAACTATAAACGATACAGCGAGATATTATATATGGCTACAAATATTGTTATTAAAAAATCAACTTCACTTTTAGAACAATAACGGCTGCATGGGTGTCTTGGCAACAACAGAGCTGGTGTAATGTCTATCTTTAAACATTCTTTTAAACGTTAAAAACTGCTTCTAACTGGTCCCTCAGTACATACGTATTTTTAACTACATACATAGATGTACATGAATGTATGTATGTATGTGTATGTATTTTAAAAAATCGTATGAATATGAGGTATAAACAATAGTGCCGTTATTTAACCTTGTTTTATTCATTTCCTTTTATTTATTTCCACGTAACATATTATACCACACGATCAATTGTAATGTAAACAATGCGAATGCGAGCATTTACTTGAATACCTCTGTTACAAGTAAGCAAATAAGAGTATATAAATTATATCAGTAATCCGCTTTCATAATATTTTTTGGCCAGATTAATGATATATTTATATAGATTAAGGAGTGAAAATCAAACCAAATTATTGCTCGTCAATTTTTTGGACTAATATAAATATTTTTTAATAATAATCTATATACTCGTATTACGATGAGGTAGTATAACAGGTCAGTTCTCTTGTTATTATACGTCAGGGTCAACTGGTTTTACAGCTACATATGTATGTACATAGGTTCTATTTCAAAATTCAAAGTCTATTATGCATCAATAACTGCAAAGTGATTGTAAGTTAAAAAAATAATATGACCGTTGTTTCTGCATCACTGTTAACTTCTGCGGTAGAACTATTAAAAAACACTCTTACTATGAAACATTACAGATAAAAATATTTTTATTGTTCTTCCGGGTTTATTATCGTGATTCTATATAGCGAATTCATTGAGTTTAATATTTCCATGTTGGATATATGAATGACTTATAAAAATTTTCCGAGCACTTGTGTACATGGGTTAAGTTTTTTTGCTCTGAAGAAAGTTAAATGCGTCAAACACATATGTATACATATATATATATATATATATATATATATAGCCGCTGAAGCGGGTTGTAGAAGGTTGTCGAAAAGGATCGTTCGTGTACAACACGTTCCCACACAATTTTCGACTTGTGACCGTGCGTTGTCTTGATTAACAAACATTCTTTGCAATATGTGGTCGTTTCTTTATAATATCGTCCTTCAAACTTTATATAATATTTACTGTTCATGGTATATCCCTTCTTAAGATAGTAGTGCGTATTAAACCACATATCTCAAAATACCGGGGTCCTAGTCATAAACCTTTCAGTCAATTGACGTGCACTCGGCACTATAGACGATGTTCAGTTGCTGCTCACTTATTTGAATCAAGTAATGTATCCGTGTTTTATTCGCTATCACATATGGCCGAAAAATTTTGCTTTTCCAGATATTTTTAATATTTTACGACAACTGTTGACGTAACCGAGCCAACTTCGTCATATATACAGTGGGCGGGATTGATATTTACATAATAAAAAGAAATAATTTGTTTCTTTAAAAAATTTATATGAATGTAAATATGGGAAAAGATTTCTTATAGAGAAGAAAATGGAAATCATATTGCCATAAACCTAGCGCACCGGACTCTTCAGCTCAATGCACCGTAAGGATTTTGAAAGTCGGGATTGTGGGGTGCTGTCGAAATAATGTAACAAAAGTAGCAGATTGTATCATATAGCGTTAGTGTACATCAACGTATTTCGTATCATTTTTACAATTAAGCCGTTAGGTTAGGTAATTTACATTACTAAATTAATATACACTTTGATTACATTAAATATTAAATTTCAAATAATTGATAACAGCTTGCTGCGAGGAACTTCTAAATTCTTTCATTCAAAGTGATTGTCAAACGTGTAAATATGATTTCTCCTTTTCACATAAAAAATTTAGTTGCTCCTGGGAAATATGACCGTAATTTCTAAAAAAAAAAAATATCGGCGGCTTTCTGCTTTCCGTCCGTTCCATAAAATGTTATATGCCTCGCACGTGTATGTACATATATACATACTGCTCTTGAAATTAAATTCCGAAATTAACATATTATATTGATATTTTTCAATTTGTAATTAACTATTTCCTACGTCTCAGGGATAATTTAATTGCTATCAATTCTAAGGGATATCCATATGTATACGTTGAGTGCTTCCGGTCTCGCTGATACCAAAAAATTACCTAGACAGTTTGAATTCATTGAGTTCATATTAGATATTTACGATAATTAATGCTATGATTCCAACAATCTTGGTACAGTTAGTGGTTTACCGATATGAATGTATATATTACTAACATGAAAGAAACCAGTATCGTATCCGGAACTTACCTAAATCTGGAATTGAACTGGAAGGCTCCTCATTGCGCGAGCAATTTATAACGGAGCTGACTCCGTTGCTACTGTTAGGTATAGTCATAGTTGCATTTTTGATTTTTGGGGGCGGTGGTGGTGGAGGACGCATGGCAGTGTCGCTGTTGCTATGCAATTGATGATCATTGTGAATTTTATTATTACTACTACTGCTGCTGATAACCGCGGGTATTCGAAAATTTCTAGATCCAGTTGAAGATGGAGAAGACGAGTCCGTTAGCGATTGTGATATATTACTTTCTCCTTCTTGATGTTGTGGAAGTTGCCGAGAGATTTGTTGATGTTTGAGATGGTGTAAATGAGTATTTTCTGGTCGTAAAGTGTTCGTTGTTTGGATTGAGTTCGATTGCCGCGTAGTTGGAAGAATATATTTCCGAGTCGATGGAGACAACACATACTGCTGCGGTTGCTGATTACTTGTTGTTGTCAAAGAAGATTTGACCATAACTTGAGAAGATAGAGAATTTTTTGCTTTTATTGATGTCTGAAGACATGTCGCAGGCGGTGGTGGAGGTGGTAGAGGAGGTGAATGAAGATCGTGGTTTTGATATTGCCCTGAAACATCAGGCGTGTGCAAATGATGCTTATTATTTTCTATGACAACTTGCATGTGGCCTTGATGAGTTTCAAATGTATTCTGTGGTGATAAAGTTAGCGTCAATGTTTCATGAGGTGACATTGAATACCGTCGAGGTATGACCGGAGAAACAGGAGCAGACCGCGATTGGTGATGTCGCAACAATGGAGGAGGCGAAGCCGAATGAGTAGAAGTTATACTTGATCTTGCTACAGCCTCTTCATATAACCGACCATCTCTTATAACTCGAACGTGATGCTGAAGAGACAATGGCGGTGGCGACGGCTGAGGTGAACGATTTGGGGAATAATGTTGTAAGGTATGATGAGGCGAAGATTGAACCGAGGATGAGAATTCTGCATTAATATTTGAGTTAATAGTTGAGAGATTTCTCTGGTAATGAGAAGGACTTGTAGAATGTCGACGTTGTAAAGATGTCGTCAAGGAAGTAGCTGGAAAAGGTCGGGAGATTATAATTTGTGGCCCAGCTATGGAATCAGCTTGTTGAGTTTGTGAAACTCGTTGTATAATCCGTGTATTTGTGGTCGAAAAAGACTGTGTGTTTCGAGATTGTGCCACTGCTATGGGTTGTTGTGAGTAAATATGTTCTACGACATCGTCAGTTTCTTCTCCAGATTCGCCGGATGAAAGTCGATGAGTATGGCCCTTGCGCGGAGTCAATATAATTTTTTGCACATTATTAATATTGTTTAGTAAACCAACTCTAGGCTGCCTCGGTGGCACAGTTTGTATTTGCAAATGTTGGTAAAGTGGGGATAGAGCTTCTAGACGCTTAACATTAGTTTCATTTTTATTAGATTCTTTAGATACATTTGTGTCCTGAGTGCTTCCTATATCTTTGGCCTGCACATGCGCCATTTCGAGATCAAGAGGCTCTGTTTTAATAAACTTTATATATGACTCTCCACTGGTAGCAGGTATATTTTTGTTGGAATTGTTGGCCACTGCCGATATTTGATTAATGTCATTATCGACAGCAGTATCAATGCATTTAAAATTTTTTGACATTGTGTCATTTGCAACTAAGTTACATAAATAACATTTCAATGTGATCGATGTTTTGGAAATATATTATTTTATATGATACCAAATCGAGAAGTTCCTTATATCTTGCTTTTCTCTGTACTTTTTGTAATATTATTCTATTCGGTCTTAGACTCTACTTAAACTTTTAAAATGGCTTAATATCATAATCAGTCTCGTTTTTCAGCTTTTTTTGGTGTGTTGACTGTATCCCTCGTCTGTGCCAAATCCACTATAACATGCTTTCACTTTTTATAACATCACCTGCTTGTCTCTCCTGCTTAGAATTGTAAAATTTTCAGCCTTCTGGTTTCAAAATAAATATTTGCTCTTAGTTCACTTCCCTTAATATTAATTTTTACGCTATCACATTTATCCACAAAATTTTTCTTTAAAATTTTTGTTTTAAAGATTGCTTTAGAAGGTGTTCATAACTCTGATAAGGACTTTTATATACTATTAGTACACATTTCAAGAAGACTATTTCTTTCTTTTCGCTGTTATTCACAATTCATTGGGTAAATATACGCAATTTTCTTAGTTCTGTTTTCCTGATAAGTATTCATTTTTTTTAAAGCAGCAACATCTGAAAATAAGACAACTTCATACAGCATAATATTTAATTTAGTTTATTATACAATATGTATGTACATAAATTATAGCAGGAAGCAATATAATATACTAAATACACTCTTTGAATGCCCCCTAAAAACCAACTTATCATCATCTAGTCCGAACCCGTCAAAACAGGTCGTTTCCTGGGCCTCCCATTAGATGACATCGATGACTTAGACTGATCTAGCCTGCCCTTGAGCGGGGCTAGCAAACAGCTTCGACAATAACAACTAAATAAACGGGGTATATTAACAATTGCTTCATACCCACTGAAATGGTACGGATGTAAATCGAATTTCATAAAATATCGCCCGTCCGTACAAACGTATATAATTTATCTAACCTCCTAAACGAATTTAGTACCAATATAACTGTTTCATAAATCTGCTCAAATATTCCTTTCGTTTGCAATCGATACAATGTGTCGCCTATTAGATCTCTAGGTACTCCGGTATCGAGCAATGCCACTAGTTCGATACTCGTTCGTTGCTCAACTACTCTAATGTTTGAAATATTTTAATTTTTTGTTTTTTGTTTTTAGCTATATTTACCATTTCAATTAGTTCATCACTTTGTACAAATAAATTTAAAATTATAGAAACTCTGTTTTATTAAATTTTAATATTTACTGTTATTTCTGTTATTAAAGATTTCTACATCCAATATTATTTTTTTAAATTTAATAAAAAAAAACTATATTTTGCTGGAAAAATCATTCTTTTATAATCATTTTGATAGTAAATAATAAATTCCCAATTAAAAACACTTGACGGTTATTCATAAGCATGAAACTTTAAACTCAAGTTTAAGGCGGAAAATATCGCCTTATAAGCCAATTAAAATCAGGAGGCAGGTCGATTAAAAAATAAAATGCTCATTACTCCAGTCCTGCGTAAGACCTACGCTTTTAAATGTTTATTGTTAATTAATATATAGTTTACCGAGTGCCAACACTAAATATTAAAAAAATAAGGTCTCCGTATAAGACATTATTTAAATTGTTTATATATAAATTAAAGCTAACATATATATTTTCTGTTAAATAAAAACATTTCTCTATAAGTAATACTTCTATTTCTTAGCTTGAGTAAAATATGTATTTGAAACAGATTTAATTCAAGAATTTCTCATATTGTTATAAGGAATATGCATGTATGTATGTATGCAAATATAAATATTATAGTAATGCTTTCAAAACTAAAATACATATGTACATACATACATACATACATAAGTGTTTTGTGGTCAAATATGTGAAAACAAATTGAACAGCTGTGAGAATATTTCGCAGATACAGAGTTAGAGAGATGATGACGCAGAGTCGCCGGTTTGACCATGAGAGAGTAAAATTTGCTTGACACTGACATTGTTGGCCCTTTTCAAAGACATAGGTTGGGAGGCAAAATGACATTGGATGACAGTCGCAACTACATTTACAACAAACACTACTGCCAAGGACAAGGCCAAATTAGGCCCAATCAAATTCCTTTAATTCGTGTAAATAATCTTTAAGATCTATGTATATGCATATATATATATATACATATATGCAGATGCCAATGTAGATATGTATGTACATAAGTGTATATATATGAATACATACGTACATACCTGAATAGTCGTACATAATTATTTAGGTACATATGTATGTCTATTTCACACGTTTCTAATGCTGTTCTTCACTTATTCTTTTTTAAATGGTTTGCATAATTTTGTATATCGACATAATTTATTGTTATTACATCAATATTTTGAAACAAAAACAGCGCAATTAATTCACCATCACTTTATTCGCATTTCTGTTTACTTAAAATTGTCAAGTCGCATTGATATGCACACACAGACACAAACAAAGACTGCTTAAGTAACTTAACGATCTAAATCTGTTGCCGTACTTTCTCTTACTGACTGACTGCTGTTCTCGGTATCGTCATCATAGTTGTACTTCATGAATGCAAATATATTTATATACGAACATGTATGGATTCTTATATACATATGAATGTATGCACTTGTATAGTCGTGTTATTAATTTAACGTTGTTCTCACATCTCAGAACTTATCCAGTTGTTATTCATATGCATAGCTATGGGAAGTAGAGATTGGCTCGATGAGTTTTGCGAAATTTCCGTGCGAAAAGTAAACACGGATGTATGAGAATAAGCAACAGAAGAGCACATGGACACATACAACCTCACTCAAGGTGAAGGTTACGAACATAAATAAAGAGTCGAGTAAACTTGGAGAATTGGGGCACAACATTGCCACAAAAACGGAACTCTTTGAAAATCACAGAAAATAAGCTTTTCGTTCAATTCGGGTGTTCTCTCCCATACTACAATGAAAGTGAAACTCGGAGAATGTATGCTCAAATGTATGACATAAGAGAAAACAATGCGAAAGAGTGGTATTACGAAGAGTATAAGTACGATACTCAATATAAAATATACGTCAGTACAGGAAGTCCATAGCGTAGCCATACTCACCATGGCTGGCTTTAATATGTGTGAAAAGTGAATAATCGCCCATATAGTCAGGGGTGGTTACGTTATTGCTTTATTCTCAATAATACAAATTCAAGTTCACTACCGCTAGCCGCTAACAATTTATTAGTTTGTTTGTTGTGACGAGCAAACCGTCTATCTGCTGCAAACATTTATGGGCCATAAGATACATTGGAGTAGTCCAATAGATACACCTCTGTAGTGTACTATTGGAGCCTCACGCCCCGCTACCTGATTGTTATTAGCCGATGAATGCTTGTGTTTTAACGATCATAAATACTAAAAAAGCATGCAATAAAATTTACACTCGTATACCGAAAATGCATGAAGCTGAAATTGAGTTACATTCGCATCGTTAGTTTGTTCATACAGTGTTTCTAGATAAGCCTATTTAGCGCCAATTAGGCTATATGTATATTTTGTCGAACGACGGTTGGATTTTATAATCATTTATTTTTATAGTTATTCCTTTTTTTAAGCAAAAAATATTTCTAATTGTTTCTATTGTTTAATATTAGTATAAATTTCAGAGAAACTATTCAAACAACACTACTGGTATCTAGACGACCTCCATAAGTCTCAATAAAAAAGAGCGAATGTGCAAAATGTAGTATATTGATTAGAAATAAATTAGTAATATATTATTACTATGTATTAATATAATTTAGAAAATATGATAAGCGTATGGTTCGTCCCTAAGACTTCGTAATTAAAGCAATATAGTTAGTTTTGGATTACTCCATTATCCGCGTTGAGTATATTTTCACGCGTACATGAAGCAGTCGCGTTGTTCTCAGGGTATGTTTAGACACATTCATGCATATGGATATAAACATATATACATATACAATAGCAAGTAAGTGTATTCAGAGACATCGGCCAGAAGCTGATCCACAACAAAGAATACAGAGCGAATGATTGTCATGTTTCAATCTAGATAGAATTTTATTCTCATTTGTATATACATACAATTTTACCCTGTTGGAGCATTAAATAAACGCTTTTTGCCGCAGATGAAAGTTATATATATTTATATATGTATGTATGTATAATTGGCGCTTTGTAACCGCTGAAGCGATTTTTGGGCCGAGCTCCGCCTCCAATTTGTGGTTTTGCGTCTTGATGTTTTTCCAACAAAATAAGAGACCTACAGTTTATACCAAGCCGTCACCGAACGGCTTATGGTTTTTTATGAGGAGCCTTTCTTTCATGTCCGAAATACATTTAGAGGGGTGGGCATTCCCTGCAGAGCGGCCGCAATTAGAAAACCTAACTTCATTTTTTATTTAAATTAATTTTCCATAACCTTCGAATGTTGCTAAGGCCGGGATATGAACCCCGGCCTTCCAAATGTCAGTACGCAACGCTAACCACTCAGCTACCGCGGCCGATATAAAATTAAAATTTCATTGAGTAAAGCCAATTGTCAGTGGGTTTTGGTTCAATTCTTTCTCCCTGAAAACGTGAGTCGAAGGGAAAGCTTTCATGTTCGATAAGCTATCTATGACTACTTCATATTTCGGTGTATAAGGTATTTTACGAGTCTCAGCTTTTTTTTAATCGCTGGTAATAACATTGCGTTGTTTTCAGTAACTGCAAACAACTATTCGTGTTCGAATATTTGGAGACCTCTTTGGAAGTGTAGAAGAATTTTAGCGAAAAGTACGCTCAAAAGGTATAAAAAAATTTATTTATAAATAAGAAGAAATCTAAATTAATAAATAAATTAATGAAAAAATATGATATCTAATACTTTTTTGTAGCTCATCTCGAGTTTATTAGGTTATAAATAATATATACTTATGTTTATATATAGTATACACATATGTATAATTGGTGTTTTGTAACCACTGAAGAGATTTTCTGCCGAGGTCCTCCTTCAAATTGTGGTATGCGTCTTGATGTTTTCCAACAAATTTCGGGACCTACAATTTATATTAAGACGCTTTTCATGTCAGAAATACACTCTGGGGGGCTGAAAGTTCCTTCCTACGGGCGACCACAATTAGAAAAATTAACTTCATTTTATATTTAAATTAATATTCTTTAATAATTTTTATTGGCTGTGGGTGGGAACCGGATTCGAACTCTGGCCTTCCGAATATTAACCGCTCGGCTATGGCGGCCGCATATGTATATGTGTATGTGTGCATATTCATTAAACTATACGTGAGGCGGTGCCCATGAAGAAATGGGTATATCTACCCAATGACCTTAACACTGATCCGACAACATGGTGGTTACTAACGCTTTGTGAGAGAGAAGCTTCGGTTCAATGAGTTCTGCTCTTCAGAAAGTTGAGTACGAAGACTGCATGTATGCAAGAATGTAGAAGACTGCTATGATATACTTAAGTAAAATGAATATGCATGTATGCACTAAATATGTACGTATATGATATGTATATATACTTATATATATGTATATATAGTTATTATGCAGGTATTGAAGATATATTTAAACTTCGCACTTTAGACCATTTTATTTTTTATTTATTTTCATCAAACTTCTTGTTTAGCACAAAATATTATATGATAATTAGCTTTCACAAACAATTCCACATCAGCTGTGGTAATTTAGAATAATAAAATATACACTTTGTTCAATTAAGAAAATAAGGAATTATTTACTTTTCTATCAAACATTTTCTGCTTATTTTTATTTAAAGCACAGATTTGTACATACATATGCACGTACATACGCATTTATGTATTTAAAAATTTATTTACTTTGCCTTATTAAGTTTTAGTAAACATTGGTATAAATTAAATATGTAAATGTTTTATTTTACACTGAAACTTCGCATAATATCTAACATAAAATATTACGCTCCAACTTGAATATACGAACGACTTGATGCCGCTTTAGCGACTAAACTCAGAAATTTCGTCAGAACTCTAAAAACATTGTATCAACCCATTTCATTGTGCTGTAGACGAGTTTGTATTAACCGTCAGGCGCCGTCACACAATAAACCTGCAAATAAATGGGTGGGCATGCAATGCAGCGGGCAACGAAAACTCGGAATAATGCCGGTATATTGGCTTAAGTCGCAAAGAGTGTGGGTAGGTCGGGACGCTCTGGCAATTTAGCACAAGTAGAATGGGAGCAGACAAAATAGAAAGAGTACAAGTGGATGAATGCCAAACTGAGTTGAACGCGCTCACAAACATTTGCGGAACTGCATTTACAAAAATATACTAACTTATAGCTGTATGCATGAAGAAGTGAATGTGTATAGTGTAATAAAAATGCGAAAGCGCGACACAAAACGCAACTAAGAGAAGTCAACGAATTCGTCCAGACACTTGAATCACGCAACCAAGGGGGCATATCCATATAGCATTGTGCTTATAAATTCGTAGACATATGTATACACAAACTTATATATCTATTATATGGGCAGCCAAGTTCAATGAACAACGGCATCCCTGTGTCATAGAGCGTTGTGTACAGAAGTTGAAGGTATGTGTGTACGTATATAATTGTTCAAAAATTTATGCACACTTACATAGGTATGTATGTATATACATATGTACATACCTATGTATATCGAACGTATCGTAGCCTTTCCTAAATAATTATTTCCAATTGTAAGGTAGGGATGTTATACGAGTCGCAGGGCTGACGGCTTTTCATGACCGTTTTTTTAGAATCCAATATCACTGAACTCTTCTCGCCGCGCTATATATTGACCATCTTTGCTTTCTCTCGCAATATAAATGATATGCGTAACATAGAATTTATTGTTATGAAGGCACATGCATTTGGAAATCCGATTGTAATTGGATTCAAAATAAAATCCGATTGCAATTTGTGATGATTAAGCTCGTTCTGCATATACATAATTCCGAATATTTTCCGGGTTTGAAAATGATAGATGTTCTAAAATACGTTTCCAACATATTCTTCAGTTTTTCCTTAAGAATACGGAATGAAAATTATTTGAAAATTATTATCAAGGTACAAGGTACAAATTGAGCTCTTAGTTCTCTCATAGTACGTACCTATCCTAAAAATGCATGTTGTTGTAATAGAAAACGAAGTTTATTTTCCACTGTTACATTTCTATATGGATATGTTTAACCACCTGCATATGTATATGTACATATGTACATATACAGTGTCTAAGCTTACTCTCTTTTCAAGCTGAAATCACTCTCCATTGTGTGCTTGCATTCGCGTCAAGAATGCTAACTGAGGGTGAATTATTTTATTTCTGAGGAATTCAATAGACTAATGGTTTTACCTAAAAAATTTTATGAAAAAGAAATGATTTAACAAATAGGATTTTTAAAAACACTTATGAATTTTGATATAACGTAGTATATATTTTGTTTGTTTGTACATAAAGGTTCTATAAAATTTATTACATATATTTATAGGTTTTA